CAATTGTTTATGGTAATACTGCCCATTATTTGGGTAAAAAACGCGAAGAAGATGGGCATACACATGAATGGACAGTATTCGTGAAACCATACTACAATGAAGATCCATCAAAATATATTCGAAAAGTACAATTCAAATTACACGATTCATATGCTAATGCAACACGAAGTAATTTATTTTTTTTATTTATTTTTTTTTTTTTTCTGTCTGAAATAACTAGCCTAATTAGATTATCACATTGTTATTATGATATTATAATTTTAGTTTGTAATCTAATTGTGCATTTTCATATGCTGAATGGCAAACTTTTAGTTTTGATTAGAATTCTACTTTTATCCAATTCTTAACGATTATAGTTTATGAATTGGAGTTAACTTATAACGTCAAAAGTGGACATGAAATTTAGAAGTTGTCATATAATAGAGATACATAAGTGAAAATAGAAGAACTTTTGTTCTTCACAAAAATTTCTGTATTTGACATGAAATTATGCTGCTATACATATATGAAAGAATATGAAAAATGTAGAATATCACTGAGAAATAATGCTTAATAATATGTTTAGTTTTATGTTATTTTTAGTGGTCGAAAAACCGCCATATGAAGTGACCGAAACAGGTTGGGGCGAATTTGAGATTCAAATTCGAATATATTTTGTCGACGTTAATGAAAAACCGGTAAAGATTCATTATTTTTCGTCATATTGTTTTAATTATTAATCACGAAATTTAGACTATATTTATTTGGTCACATGTTTGCTGTCTAATTCCTTATTTATAGATTGTGATTGACACAATTTAAAATGTTAAGTTCCACTTCAAATGTTGTAATACATATTTTATAATAACAAGAATTCTCTTATTTTCAACGATGAATAAGATATGAAATGATGAGATATCATCAATAAATGGCAGTTATAAGAATTGAAATAATAACAACTTAGTTAGCTAATTCTTTAATCATGTATTTTAAGGTAACAGCGTTCCATTATCTTAGGTTATTTCAACCACAAGTTACACTTCCCAACGGCAAAACGATGGTTGCTGCAGAATATTACGATGAAATTGTAATTTTTTGTAGTTTTTTTTTCTTTTTTATTTTTTTATATATAAAGAATGAAAATTTTGAAAAGCTAATATTTGTTCATTTCTAAGCGACAATTATTGACAAATGACAGATGATATCATTTTAATAAATCAAATCTTTTTTTTTTTTTTTTACATTTCAGTACTGTGTGCTTTATGATTCAGAGTATTTACATTGAATAAAATAAATAAAATTTTTTTTGACTGTATATTTGTCTTGAATAAAATTTTGCTTGACTGTATATTGTATTAAATTTTGCTTGACTGTTGTATATTGTAGGTATTTCAAGAACCTACAATGTCAATGTATAAAGTGTTATCGCATTTAGAGGGACGCAAAGCTGAACCGAGACGTTTTCATACTGACTGTATGTCTTTCTCGATTGTTAATTCTTTTCCTTTTTTTTTTTTTTTTTTTGATTTCTCCTTTTGTAATTTTTTTTTATATCTCTGTAGAATCAATGTAAAAAGCAATTCTTTTAATATTGATTAAATAGATTGAGTAATATTACTGTTTTTTTTTTATATATATTGAATAGTTACTTTCACATTGATGTTGTTTTCCTTAATTTCAGTTCCTTTTGTGCGTAAACGAACGCAAGAAATGATTAACAATGCAAGAAGTGAAATTAACAAAGAAATTCAAGATTTAATGGATTCATTAAAAGCTGCTCATGAATTAATTGGAAAATATTCGAAAGAAGTTGATTCATTGGAAGCAGCTGCTGGAAATCCTGAAGATGGTAGCTTTACATGTGAAAGTAGCGGACAAAATACATTATGATGAATAGCTTTTAATAAATCCACTAGAGAAAAGAAAAACAAAAAGTTAAATAATACTTAGATTATCGATGTGTTCATTTTATGTTATTTGTATATCCAATATGTTTATTTTAATACTCTGTGAATCCTCTCATCCTATAATTGAAGTTTAATAGTGTGCATTAATTGATTTCAAAAGTTATGTTTTTATTCTCTCTGTGTTATTTGTTGAGCTCTTCTTGTTATTGTCATTTTTGAGGTCATTTATTTGAGAATGTAACAATAGTTATTTGTTGATAAATGTATATCCATATGGTAATCTGAACATTTATTTATTAGTTAGAATAATGATGAAAGACTTTAAAAATTCTGACAATTAAGTATGCTTGATAAATTTTTAGTAATGATTTAGAAAATGAGAGAGAAAGTGATAGAGCGGATATATTTTACATTGTACTGTTTAACTAGCATTCATTAAAATTATATCCAAATCTAGCATTATTTATTCTGATTTAAATGTTGTATTTTTTTTTGTTTTGAATATGAAATGAAGCTATTTCTTCTTTTTTTTTTTTTTTTTTCTGTTCATTTAAAATTATTTCTTATCGATTTAGAAGCAATGCCAATTAGCATTTGGTAACCAAAGAAATAACAGAGATGTGAAATTCTGCTATAGGCTATAAGCTATAATGTTATGTTAGAAAAAATAAATAAAAAATAGCAAAAGGATTCAAAAAAAAAAATCTTATTGCACTTTTCCTCTCCAACATCAACAATTTACACATATTTTTTTTGACTTTCCCTTCCAATGTCAACAAATTTACCCATATTTTTTGATCGTTCATTCATCTTCATTATGCTTTCTTCTGATCATTTCATCAATCAATCGATCATCAATCAATCAATTTATAATAAGCAATTTGATCTCTTTGTTATCTCTTATTTTCTGACAATGAAGATTACAAGATTACAAGATATTAGGAGATCAATAATTAAAAATAGTTGAAAGTTAATTATGGCACATAAATAAGAGAAAAAAAAGTGTAAAAGCTAAGTTAATAATATCATTGCAAATAGTTATATCTAAGTTTTTAATGAGTCATTCAAAAAAAAAAAAAAAAAGAATAGAAGTTTATTGACGAATAAAAACTTGTAAACATAATAAAAAGAGGGGAAAAAAGGGGAAAGAAAAGCTTCATAAAGAGAAATTATTTTCATGATAGCTATTTGTTTACCAATTGCTTATTCATTGTCATTTTTTTTTTCCTTCTAATATTAATCATTCCAAATGATAAATATGCTGCTTAAAACCTGTGAGAAATTTAATTGCTATTAGCATTTTATCAAAATAAATATATCATTTGCTAAATTAGCCAATATCTTTGTGTACATCCAATTTGTCACCAGTAATAGAAATATTTGAAATAAAATTTATTGAAATTACTACTATAGTTTTGATAATATTTTTATTGTTTAAGCAATGATAATTACAATTTTTCATGTTTAAATCGATGGTTCAAAAATTAATTTCTTTAAAAATTTAATTTCATTTTAAGAAGTAAGATTTATGGTGGTTGAAAATTTAATTTTATAAAAATTTCATTTCATTTTAGAAAGTAAAATTTATTGATGGTAATAATAATTTATTTGCATCTTATATTATTAACTCAAAAAATTTCAATATTTCAAAAATTAAGCTTAATTTATCTTTAAAAATATTATATATTTATATGTAAGCAAAATGCTAAATTAGCCAATATCTTTGTGTACATCCAATTTGTCACCAGTAATAGAAATATTTGAAATAAAATTTATTGAAATTACTACTATAGTTTTGATAATATTTTTATTGTTTAAGCAATGATAATTACAATACTTTATGTTTAATTTTTGGTGGTTGACAATTTAATATTTATAATAATTTAATTTCATTTTGAAAAGTAAAATTTATTGATGGTAATAATAAATTATTTTCATCTTATTATTTAATTCAAAAAATTTCAATATTTGAAAGACTAAATTTAATTTAGTTAAAAAAAAAAAAACTGTTTTATATTTATTTTATATATATATTTTTTATTTTATATTTATATGTAGGCAAAATTTTTTTTTTTTTTGTTAAATTTTCAAATTTGATATTCTCTCTCTCTTTTTTTTTGAATTTTTCTTCTCATTTCTGTCCATCATTTGCTTACGTTAACATCAATTTATCACTTTTACATCAATAAATCATTAATTCGTTCCCTTTCTTCTTTCTCTCTCTCTCTCTCTCTCTCTCCCTCTTATTTTTTGTTATTTAATCTTTTATTCTTTCTTATCATTTTTTTTTTTTTTTTTTTTTTTTTTTTTTTTTCACTTCTTTTTTTCTCATTTTTAAACAAAATTAAACTTAAATTATTTCATTTTTTGTTATATTTCACAAAAATTTTTCACATTAATTTTATCAATTTATGGAATATTAGATGAATAATTTTTTATCATTGTAATTATTATTATTATTATTGTTATTTATATTATTGCCTTCATTATTATTTATTTTCCAAATCATTTATAATTTAATACCATTTTTTTAATTAATAAAATAAATTATTTTTCCATTTTTAATTTTAAAATAAATTATTTTCCATTTTTTAATAAATAAAATTATTTTGTCAATATTATATTATTTATATAAGCTAATATTTTTTTTTTCATAATTTATTTAATAATTGAATTTTCAATTAATATTTCCATTTTCAAATAATTAAACTTTTTTATTTTTCCTTCTTCCTATAAGAATTTTATTATTTCTTCTCCGTTTCCCTTCTCTTCCTCTCTCCCTCTCTCTCTCTCTTTCTATCTCTCTTTTCTTTCTCTCTATTTCTCTCTCTTTCTATTCTTCTCCTTCTATTTCTCTATTTCTATCTTCCTTTATCCCTCTTCTTTTATTTCCATATTTCTATCTCTCTCTCTTTCTCTCTCCTTCTCTCATTCCTATCCATCATCTATTTATATTCAAACAAGTTTGGTAATCCTCTCTTCCTTCTCCTTCTCTCTCCTCTCTCCTCTCCTCTCTCTTCTCTCTCCTTTCCTCTCTCTTCCTTCTCCTTTCTTCTCTCCTCTTCCTTCTCCTCTCTTCCTATTTTCCTCATCTTCCTTCTCCTCCTCCTTCTATTTTTCCTCATCTTCCTTCTCCTCCTCCTTCTCTACTCCTCCTCTTCCTCCTCCTCCTCATCTCCTTCTCATCTCCTTCTCTTACCTCTCCCTTCTCCTCCTCTTCTATTCCTTCCCCTCCTCCCTCTGTTCCTCCTCCTCTCCTCCCCTCCTCTCCTCTTCCTTCTCTTCTTCTCCTCCTCCTCTCTATTCCTTCTCCTTTTCCTCTCTCATTTTCATTTCCTCTTCTATTAATCATCAAATTCAATAAATATCATCATCCTATTGCTATCATCTATTCGCTTTTTCATCAGTACTCAATTCTATCACATTTTGTTATCATTCAAAAATCTTTCTGTCTTTGATTTCCGATTCTTACATTTATTATTATTCCAAACGATCAGCAAATGTTAAGCGGTATTTATCTGTAAAATTCACATAATATATTTAATAACAATAAATGTTTAAACAGTTAAAAGTATTTTTTCCACTTCAACAAAAAATTTTTCTACAAAATTTTTCTTCCATTTTAATGTAAAATCATTCATTCAAATTGTTTAAATTTAAAATTGTGTAAAATTTAGTGTAATATTATTAAGCGTTAAACATTAATAAAATAATATTTGAAAAAAGAAAATAAAATTTTTATTAAACATAGAATTAAAAATATGAATATTATTTCAGTTATAATATTACATTGTATTTTTATACATTACACTTGTTATATTTTCAAATTGTATCAATTTTCATTGAAATTTTAAACAACTAATGCTTCAAAATTTTAATGTGAGATTTAATTTCACGAAAAAAAAAAAGAAAACTGATAAGATATGATTTGACTGACAATTTGATTATTATTACAAACAATTCGATTATTGACTTTTTTTTTTTTTTAAATGCTAAATCTATTGAATTACACATTTTTTTAGTTGATTAAACTTTTTAAATTCGTCAATTTCTTTTTTTTTTGACGAAATATTTTTTTAAATTTAATATTTCAATTATATAAATTAAATATTTGTCAAAATAATATTATTAATATGTGAGCATATAATTAAAACAAAATTTAATTGCTATAATTTCTATACCAATCATTTTAACAAATAACAGTAAATGCATCTCCATTAATTTTAAAAGTAACAAAAAAAAAAAAAAAACGAAACAAATTTTAGTTTTTAATTTTTTTTTTTATTACGGTACATTTAACATTTATTTATTTATTTATTTTTTAATTTTAAATATATATAGTTGTTTCTTTTTTTCAAAGTTTTAAATCAATTTTTAACAAATTTGCTATTTATTTATTTAAAAATAATTTTAATATATTGATAAATTCAATGAAAATATATTCTCTTAAGTGTTATCAAATGATAAAATAATCACATTAAACATTTAATTCATGAAATACAACTTTTAAAATATTTTATTTTTATTGTTTTATTCGTTTTTATTTTAAACTTACAATTGTTTCTTTCTCACCTTCATTTTTTATATAATTTATGTTGATGATGATATGATAACATATCTAATATCAGAATTATCACCGATGATATGATGTCATATCTTAATATCAAAATTATCACCGATGATATGATAACATATTCTAATATCAGAATTATCACCGATGATACGGTAACATATCTTAATATCAGAATTATCACCGATGATATGATGTCATATCTTAATATCAAAATTATCACCGATGATATGATAACATATCTTAATATCAGAATTATCACCGATGATATGATGTCATATCTTAATATCAAAATTATCACCGATGATATGATAACATATTTTAATATCAGAATTATCACCGATGATATGATGTCATATCTTAATATCAAAATTATCACCGATGATATGATAACATATTTTAATATCAGAATTATCACCGATGATATGATGTCATATCTTAATATTAGAATTATCACCGATGATATGGTATCATATCTTATTGTCAGGATTATCACCGTTAATGTTTAATTAGTTTTTTTTTTATGATTAGAGGAAATTGTGAATTTATCAGTGATAGAAAAATTCATATAATTTTTAATAAATTATAAAATACCCATTTGCAATTTTGATTAATAATATAAAATTCCTAAATATGAAATTTTCTGCTAGTTTTTTTTTTTTCAGTATTCCAGTTCGATGTAATAATTTTAAATTGATTTCCTTGAAATTGATTTAATTGATTAATAATTTAGAAATTTTAAATATTGATTAATAGACTTCCTGTATTATATTGGAATCATTGGAATTAGTATGAATGTATTAATATACTTATATTTGAATTAAATTATTCAATTCTCAAAAAAAAAAAAAAAAAATTGAAAGGAATTAAATGTTAGAACAATTTCTGTCTGCCGAAGAACTGGTAATTAATTTGATTTAAATTTAAAATTGATAAAATTTGCTGAATGTATTAAATTTTTAAGTTATTTTACTTAAACACAACCAAAGGTAGGAAGAAGGAGTATAGAGGACAAAAGAAAGAGGTCATTGTCGCATATAGAGGTCATCTGCGACACAATTTCTTCTAACAATAACAATCTTTCTCGAACAAACTCTTTTGTCAAACAGGTTTCTCCTTCCCTCTCCCTCTCTCTCTCTCTCTCCCTCCCTCATAAACAGAAGAAATTTCTTTTTTTTTTTTCTCTCTCTCTCTTTTTTTTTTGCTCACTTAAGAACTGGGTCAATCAATGTTTTATTTCACATTTCAGATGCGTTCCTGTTTGTGTTTGCCTATCTACCTGCATGATGAATTTATATACATTTATTATACATTTCTGCATGCAAACTGCATTTCTGCATGCATTTTCAAATCGATAATTCTGCTTTCCTCAATTCTACAATCTAATTTTATTAATTAACAATAATTTTACTGCTATTTTCTCTTGTCTTTTTTTTTTTTTTGCTTCTTATATATATATTTTTTTTTAAATTCACTTCAAAAGATTTCAGTTTTTTTTTTTTTTTTTTTTTTAAATTTTTATGACAAATTTGATGATTCATCAGCACATATAAATATAATAAAATTTGTGGATTTTTTTTTTTTTTTTCAAAAATGTTTGATAAATTGATGAATTCTATCAACAAAAAGAGACCGAATAAATTTCATACAATTTTATTTGTAATATTAAATTGATAATTTTTACATTTCATTCGAATGATAAGCTATCATTTGCTTTGTTGTTATGATTATAGAATGAAAATTTTATAAAATGTCATTTCTCGGTTCTGCGATTATTCAAAATATGATTTGAATATTTGAATGATTTATTATAAAGGAATGATAGTAGGTTGATGATATCATTTAAATTTTATCAAATAGTTAATTTATTGTTATTATTAATTTTATTATTACTATTATTATATATTGTTATTATTAATTATTAATTAAAAGTTAATTTGTTATTATTATTAATAATTTATTATTATTATTAATTTATTATTATTACTATTATTAATTTATTATTATTATTATTGTTATTATTATTATTATCATTATCATCATCATCATCATCATTATTATTATTATTATTGTTATCATTATTATGATATGTAAATGAAATTTTCTCTCTCTTTTTTAATTTATCAAAGTATGTTATTTATTATTATTATAAATAATATTCAATTACTTCTTCTTCTTCCTCTATTGTCGATATCAAAATATTTTACTCAATGACTAATCTTTTCTTTGTTATCATAACGATGTAATGGAAAAATTACTGCAAATATTGCAACTAAAATCATGATAAAAAATGATAAGCATTGATTAAATTTCTTTTCCTATTAAAAAAAAAAAAAGAAAAAATATTTTGCATTTTTTTTTTTGAAAAAACACGCAAAATTCATAAGTCTTAATAAATTTAATTATTTTTAATGCTATAAAAGTATAATTGTTACTGAATTGCACAATAAATATTATTATTCCTTATCATTTGATCACTAAAATTAATTTCTTATCATCAAAAAATGATAAGCAAAACAATGATTTTTTCATGATAAATGAACAATAAAAATATGATATTTCTTTTTTCTTTTTTTATCTTATCTAATTTTTTACGACTAATTTTGCCATACCATTTGATAAAACATTTTAAATTTACAGAACAAAAACTTTAATTATTTGAAGAATTTTTCATCAATTTCAATATTCCAATATATTATTGATCAAATTTCTATTCATCTACAATCATTTAATTAATAATTAATTACTAATTAATTGTATCCGTTGCATTAATTTTTCATAAATTTTACATTTATATAAATTTAAAGTTTATATAAATTTTTTCATATATTTTGATATAATTTTTTTTTTCATATATGTCTAGAAAATTTTGCAGCAAAAAAAAAAAAAAAAAAAAAAAAAATTTATTCATAGTTGTAAAATTTTTTACTTCAAGAATTTTCTCTCTACTTTGTTATTCCGATAGATCAGTCAAGTTTTTATCATTGTTAATTGCCGAATAATCATAATTGTACCTGTCTGCCTAATAATTATTCTAACTTGCACCAGGATTATTTGATTAGTAAACAAAGAAATAATTTTTGTTAATTAAAATTTATAAACAATAACAGTGATATAATTTGATTGAGAACAAACAAATCCGGAAAATTTGACTGAGAACAAACAAATCCGGTTTTGTGCTTAACTGGACATATGCAAAATCCGGCTTACTGATCCATCATCTATGATGTGATAATAGGACTTTATAATGATTCTTTCCTGTTAAAAAAAAAAAAAATTTTTATCTGAGTAATTATGAAAAAAATAATTTTGCATTAAATTTTAAATATAAATTTATTTTTAACGAAGAAAAAATAAAATAAAAAAAAAAAAAAAAAAAACATTTGCTCAGTGTAATTCTTTTTGTTGTTTTTCTTTTTAATTTTTTAATATTATTTATTATACAAATTAATTTTTTATTATGCGAAAAGAAAAAGAAATATTCTTTAATCATTTTTAGTTTTGTTTTTTTAATGCAAATTTTAAAATTTTTTTTTTTTTTCATTACTTATTCCATTCAAAATTAACTATCCCTCTGACCTTTGACATTAATGATAGCTGATTTGTATAAATTCTAGTAATTTTTAATAATAAGTATAATTTTTAGTAATTTTTAATAATAAATATTATTTTTAGTAACAAGTATAATTTTTTGTTGTAAATTACATAATTCGAAAAAACAGAAAGAAAATCCATTTTCATCATATGATTAATTATTCAAATAAAAAACAAGCAAGCATAAAACTGAAAAAAAAAAAAAAAAACCTGTTTTCCTGATCAAAAATAATATCCGATTTTCCACTGTTTTACTTCCAATTTCAATTATCTCAAATTTGATGATTCTGATAATTTATCAAATGTTTATGAAATCATTTTTGGATTGCTATTAATTTTCCTCATTTTTCTCTTGTTTTTTTTTTTTGTTTTCTTTGAAATGAACAAGTTGATAAGATTAATTGATATAAATCATTATTTACATTTATTTATTTTTTGATAAATAAGTTATTTTTGTAAATAAGTTACTATTTTTTTTGATAAATAATCTGATCATATGTTACTTTTAAATATTTAAAACTGTCATTTCATTATTTTAAAATTATATTAAATTGTCATTATTTTTATCAATAATAATTAAAAATTGTTAACTGTGCTTTTTTTTTTTGCATTTTTATTTATCCAAATTTACAGATTGATTAAAAGTCGTAATTATTGTGATCGGCATTTTTTTTAATCTTTTATCTATCACAATCTACCATCGATTAATAACGAAAAAATGCCATTGACCTGTAGTGATTGCCCGAAGATATGTTGTTCCGTAATTATACCCTGTAAGTTTCCCTTTTTTTTTTACCTTTTTCAACTAAATAATTTAATTTTTTTATAATTTATATATTTCGCTTCTATTTTTACTATATAATTTGTTCCTTCAAATTATTATGCCTAAATTATCAAAAAAAATAAAACTTTAAAAAATTATCAATAAAATGATTTAATAATTCAAAAAATTTTTCATTTGTTAAATTAAACATCGTAGTTGTTTCTCCGATAAAAAAAAAAAAAAAAAAAAAAAAAAAAACACTTTTACATTTTTATTCTTTTGTTATTATTTATTAAATTCTTTTCTTTTGAATATGATGACATCATATAAGAGTTTTTCTCAATTTCCAATTTTTTTTTTTAAATAAATTCAGGTTTTAGAATTAATCACTGTTTCATCACTACAAAAAACCATTATTATAATAATTTTTTAAAAATAAAATACAGTAAAAATTGACACAATTAATTCTAAAATTAATACCAATTGCGCCACTTATATTATCTAGCAATTAAATATGTGCTAATTGAACTGAATGCTAAAATGTTTGAAAGATTGAAATAAAATAATAAAAATTTTTTATGTACATATAAGAATTTTGTAAATTTAATTTATAAAGTTTTATAATCCAAAAAAAAGAAAAAAAAATGACAAATTAATTTAAAATTCAATACTAATAATTCATTCCACTGTGCTTTTTAATTTTTTTTTTTTTAGTTTCTATAAAGGATCTTTTTTTATTTTTATGATAGCAAAACATTTTTTTTTTTTCGTCTACTAAATTAATGATTAAATTCATGATAATGATTTAAATTTTTGTTGATTATTTAAAATGTTTAAATTGTTTTTTTTTGTTTTTAAATTAAATAATTTTTTTTTAGCCTATTGGTGTATTTTTCGAGAAAGGTTGCGGTACCGACTTGGTTATTAATATCCTGCTAACATTACTTGGTTATATACCTGGTTTGATACATGCTTGCTTCATTATCGTCAAATATTGATCGTTATTGAAATTTCAATTGATAAAAAATATCAATCATTCATCAATTCATTTCATTTCTAATTTTTTTTCACACAATTAATCCTTATGCTTTTTTTTTTCCTTTTTATTAGCATTCAATTTTAAATTCATTCATTTGAACTTTTTAAAACATACAATTTCTTTTCCTTCTCTTCTCTCTCTCTCTCTCTCTCATATAATCTTTGCCTATTGCATTTGTAATTTAATTAAAAAATGAGCAGTTTGTGATTTACTTTTTTTTTTTTAAAAATTTAAAAAGTTGACCTTTCAAAAATTCTTAGAATTTAAAAAGTTAACAGCTTTATTTTATTTATAATTCGTATAATTAAATTTTTCTTATTAAAATTCTTTTTTCTAACTTTGATAACTAATACTATGATTTTATTCTAGGAGGAATTCGTTTTGCTAATATTACATTGTTTATCAAAATTGGCAGATAATTTTATAAATTTAAACTCATTTAACATTCATGCAAAATTTGTAAGATTTTTTTTTTTTCAAATATAATATAAACTAATACTTAACTAATTAATTCATTAATTGTTCCATGCTTCTATTTTATTGTTTAAAAGTAATGAAAATGAATATGATTTATTATAGTTTTATTTTTCTTTTTTTTTTTTAAATTAATAAATTCGAGAATGAATTTCAATCCTTTACATTTACATATGAAACATTTTATTTACTCCTCAAACTATACATTTAACTTTTTTATTCTACCTTCTTTCCTCTCATTTTTTTTTTTTTTTTTGCTAAAAATAAATGTGAATTAATTAGCATAGCTTATTTGAAAGAATAAATAAAATAAATAATCGTTGCATATTTTATTGCTTTTTTTTTTCAACTTCTTTTTTTGATTGCTATCTCTTTTATTATTATTGTCATTATTTTTCCTATCATGATGATTAAAGAAATAAATAATTCTATTTGTTGATAACAATCGATGTTACTTTAACCAAACAGAAAGGAAAATAATAGAATTTAAAATTTTTTTGTCTATTTTATTTCTTAAAATAAAATTATAAAGATAAATTTAGCCATCTGCTATTAATTAGCTAAAATTTACAACCATTTATAATAAATTTTATCCATTTGTTGCTTAGCAACATCGATACTAAATATAGCATAAAACATGTAAAACTGAGAGATGCGTAAAATTTTTAAACTAATAATAATTAGTATTTAGCTGCAAACTAATCTGAATATAAATCATTAATCTGTATCAATAAAATAACTTTCAAAGAAAAGATAAACATAAATAATGGATATGATAAATAATATATATGATAATTTATTATTTGAATGTGAAAAATTTTTTTAATCTAGGAACCAAGGAATAAATTGTTGAATATAAGCATATTTCTAATACAATAAATTAAGCATAATATTTAAAGATAAAAAAGTAATAGGTAGATTCGAACACTACGATACTCCAAATTTAAATCCTTTTTTTAATTTCAATAGAATACCATTTTGTGCAGTTATTTTCTATTTCTTTTTTTTTTTTTCTTTCTGTAAACAAATGTAATGGGTCCAGGCAATTTCAGGTCTATTCGTGTGGCGATAATCCTTGGCCTAATATTGCTGTGGTTTAAAATATAATACCACTTATGAGGAGAGGAAGGATCATGGCTATACCGCCATTATTAAATAACAGGAATATTGAGGAGGTTTTGCATTTTTCACTTTAGTTATTGCTCAAAACTTGAAAAAAAAATTTATCTCCCAGTTTAAATTGCAAAAACTTTTACAAACTGTAGGATTTTCATAAATATCCGTATTTAAATTTAAAATAAAAATTAATTTCAATATCAAAAAAGAATTAAAATCATAACTAATTAAAAATTTTATTATTTTCGCTACTAAATTATTGTTCTATAGTCAATTATTTAATTTTTTCTTTTTTTAATTTGAGCTGTCAAGTGACACCACATCGCATATGACCAGAACCCATGCAATGCATATAAAATAATCAATTAAATTCTAAATGAATTTTTTTTTAATGAATTGCTATTTTTCCAATAGTTTTAACGCTTAATTAGAATTTAATTTCATAATACTAGAATTTATTAGAATTCATTTATTAGAATAAATTAATTAGAATTCATAATACTAGAATTTATTTCCTTTGTTTAATATACAAAAACTTTTACAAATTGTAGGATTTTTTTCAAATTGTTGACAAATTGTTTTTCTTTCTTTTTTTTTTTTTTTTTTTTTTTTTTACGGACAAATAATAGAAGCCTTTTAATACTAAAATTTAAATGAGATTTAATTATTAAAAAAAAAAATAGTTCAATAATTTGTTTGAGAAATTTAAATGTCAAAAGAATTTAATAACATAATTTTTATTTATTTTTCAATTAATTCAGTTAATACATATTTGTTTGATTTACTTTTCAAAATTCATACATATTTTAGTTTTTTTTTCTCACATTTAAATATTAATTTAAATTTTGACTAAATCTTCATTTTATTTTTTTTTTTTCTAGTTTAAATTAATTGCAGTGTTTTTTGCTTATTTAATAAAATTAAATTATAATAGAAAAATTGAATTACAAGGGAGGAAATTTTTTTTTTTTATTTCGATGGACAATTAACTGAAATTTTAATTTTCAATTTTAATTTTAAGTTTTAATTATGTTTTTAATTTTTGTTAAGTTTCAATTCTCAATTGTAAATCTCAGAAAGAACCAATTTAGAATGATAATCGTAAAAAGTAGCGTCAAAAAAATTTCTTTTAAGTTTAAGATTTAAAAAAAAAAAATCTTCGATAAAATTTTTAAAGAAAAAACGTGGAATTGTAAAGTGGAATTAAACTTATTTTCAAATTAAACTTGCATCTTCAAATTAAATTTTTTGAAATTAAATTAAAAGAAATGTTATTTCAGGAATATAAACAAAAGAGCTATTTTCTTTAAACACATTAGAAAAGCTAATCAGTAAATCTCTTGCTATGCTTTTCCAATTGCTTTACCCTACAAAAGGGTTCGGTCGATTGAAAAGACATTAGCTCTGTACTGAGAGAGTTGAGCATTAGTCAGAGGGAAGAGAAGAAACATTAAAGATTTAAAACAAGATTTAGCAAGAGTAGTTAATAGAATTAGAAAAGACAAAAAATATCTACATAATGGTGGATAACTTTGATATATTTTATCATAAATGTATTGTTAATTTTCTGGAATCTATAAAGCATACAGAGAGATGGGCTCATTTTCATTTTCATTGATTTCTGTCAGTAGAGATAAGAGTAATGTTAACACAATACATATAAGTAAAATTATGATCTAAGATCTTTATTGATCTATTTTTTTACACTTATGAGATCTTTATTGATCTATTTTTTTACACTTATCAATACAACGATAGAAATTTTTTTCCTCTATACATAACCTATATTTCAAAGAACTTTCTGTTACATTCTACAAAAATAGTAGTTGGGCAGTAGCAATCTCATGATCATGCCCTTCTGTTTTGTGATTTTATTAGCACATATTGTTCTTTTCATTCTCCATTATTTTACTCCCACAATTTGACTTCTTTCAAAGGATCTCTCGTTTTTTTTTGAATAGTTTTATTAAATATTTTTCTAGTTGAACAAAGGAATCAATAATCTTTAGTTTGAAGCGATAATGGTAGAAATGGTGGAGGAAAAGAACAGATTTGAGATGTTATTTAGGAGTGCGAAATCAAACCTTAATGGTTTGCAAGAAGTGATAATACAAGAATTTCAGTTTTCTGAAAATAAGAATTGTTTCTCAAGTTTAATGCAGGTTAATCTTGTTTAAAGTTTTGTATAAATTTTGTTATTCTAGAATTTCCAAAAACAAATGGACAGAATTTTTCATATTTTGTGACAGAGTTTATCAAAACAAAATCTGAAGAAAATCAAAACTGTTCCTTCTTGTTAAAAACGCTGCGTTATATAAAAAAAATCTTCAGGAAGTGAATTTGAATGTTGAATATCGTTTTATTTACAATAGTACATACATTATCATATTGTCTATAGATCGGATTTCAGAAATTGAATGAGAAATGGTCAAAGGATTTGGATGAAATGCAAAAAATGGCGAGTAAATTGAAAATACTGCATGAGTATACAGAGAAAAACTTTAAAAGCTTGTTGGATTGCTTGCATGGCCGAGAAATTAAACAGTTGGAAAATAATGAAAGAGAAGGAGATACTTTCAAGAAAATATGTGAACATTGTGAAGAAGTAGTGCAGGTTTGCTTCTTCTTTCGAGAAATTTTCATTGTTTTATGGAGTTTCAAAACTGTTAAATAATGTTAAGACTGTTTTTTAAGACTAATTTTTGTCAATTTTAGGAGCTAAAAAGGACGGCTCAGCATTTTCGAATCAATGAGGAAGATATAAGATATCAAAGCTCAACTTTGTTTGAGAATTTGGATTTTGGAAGTGAAATTACTGCTGCAATAATTCGTGCTGCTGAAAATTTAACAAAGGAAAACGATGAACTGAAAAATGAAAATGCAGAACTCAGGAATACGATTTTTATATTGGAAAAAGAAAACATAGATTTAAAAGAGGTAATACTTTGGATTGTAATTCCGTATATATTACAATGATAATTTCAAGCAATTCCTCTGGTGACATTATCAGATAACACTATAGAAATACTGGGTACATTGTTAGTTTTAATTTCTTTGAAAATTTTTATAGATGATAAAAATGTCAATTGTACAAGAGAAAAAATTTGAAGAGGTAGAAAACAGATTAGACCGTTTGCGAGAAGAGAGTGAACGCTTAATAAAAGCATGCTATGATGTAGATGAGGAAGTTGATGATCTTAAAAATCAGATATTAGAATGGTTGAATGCAAATCACTAACTTTAGGCTGATATGATTTGCTTTAGCAATAAGAAAGTGGAAATTTTTTGCTTTTAGCTTTTGCTTTGCCCATTTTTTTTTTTTTATTTGCTTTTCTACACCAATCATGTAGAAATGAACTGTATTGAACTACCAGCAGCTGGAATCACGCAAAAAAGAAATATTTTTACGTTACTTTTATAATTCTCAAGATTACTCAGAATACTAGTTGGTGAGATAAGGGTTGAAATAATGTTTGTTTATATGATATATAATTTGAAATAGTTTTAAAGATAAGTTTTTGCATTATGGATTATTATAAATTTTATTCGATATTTTTTTTGTAAAATATTTGAAGGTTCACGAGATTATTTCGAATTAGATTCTAATTTGTAAAAATTTTTTTGTGCATTCTTTGATACATAGATTTATTTATTGGGATTTTATATTTGCTTCTTTGTAAATAAATGTAATTTTTCTTGCTTAATTTAGCTTTCAAATGATAAAAATCGTAAAACTTGACGCATTTTCATTGTTATTATTCTATGGTAGCAAAAGCTTAATGTTTCCAACGAAGCTTTTAAATTAAAAAAAAAAAAAAAAAATAAAAACGTGCTGTATTTTACTGTTCAAATTAGTAAATAAGTTTAATTCCACTTTACAATTCCACTTTTTTTTTCCTTTAAAAATATTATCGAAGATTTTTTTTTCAAATCTTAAACTTAAAATAAATTTTTTTGAAGCTACTTTTTACGATTATCATTCTAAATTGGCTTTTTCTGAGATTTACAATTGAAAATTAGAACTTAACAAAAATTAGAAACAAAATTAAAACTTAAAATTATATCCCACAACTGAAAATTAAAATTTCAGTTATTTGTTCGTGGGAACAAAAAAAAAATTTCCTCTCTTGCAATTCAATTTTTCGATTATAATTTAATTTTGTTAAATAAGCAAAAAACACTGCAATTAATTTAAACAAAAAAAAAATAAAAAATAAAAATTAAAATGAAGATTCAAACAAATTATTGAACTATTTTTTCTTCTTTTTTATAACTTGGTCTCTTTTAAATTTATTTAGTGTTGAAAGGATTCTATTATTTGTCCATAAAGAAAAAAAAGAAAAAAAAAACAATTCTCGCCATCGATTCAATGACAATCGAAAAAATTGTGAATAATTATTTGCGCCTAGAAATTAAACCACTAAAATGATGACGTGATGAAGTTTTTTGTGAAAATTTCAAATTCAGAAATGTTCGGTCAGGATGGATCGTATTTCGGTCAGGAACACATTATACACATAAAATTTTCAACACCAAAAATATCATATTTCAATTGTGTACATGATCAATTAAGTTCAAAATATTGCAATTTTTTGTAGTTTTGTCACTTAATTAAAATTAAAATTGATAATTTAGAACCAATTTTCTTGTCTAATGTAAGAAAACTATAACAAATTTAAAAATTTTTAAAAAATTCAAAATTTAAATTTGAATTTAAATTCTTAAATTGAATTAAAATCATGATTAATTGAAAGTTTTATTAATTTTGCTGATGAATTTATGCGCAAAACTTAATTACAAAAGCGTATTTTAATATTTAAACTATAAAATGACAACGTAATGTACAACCAGCACTGGTACAATGCACGTAACATAATCAAATAAGTTCAAAATATTGCTATTTTTAGTAGTTCAAGAACTTAATTAAAATCAAAATTGATAATTTAGAACTAATTTCGTTTGTTTAAAGCAAGAAAACTATTACAGATATTAAGATTTTTAAAAGATTCAAAACTTAAATTTGAAATAAAATTTGATTTTAAATCTAAAATTCAATTAAAATCATGATTGATCTAAAATTTTATGTATTTTGTTGATGAATTTTTGCGCAGAACTTAATTACAAAAGCGTATTTTCATATTTAAACTGTAAAATGACCACACCATATATGACCCGCTGTGGTGCAATGCATATAACATAATCAATTAAGTTCAATTAATAAAATTGAATTATAATCCAGGAATTGAATTACAAGGGAGGAAATTTTTTTTTTCATTCCCATGGACAAATAACTGAAATTTTAATTTTCAATTGTAAGTTTTAATTTTGTTTTAGATTTTTGTTTAGTTCTAATTCTCAATTGTAAATCTCAGAAAGAGTCAATTTAGAATGACAATCGTAAAAAGTATCGTCAAAAATTTTAAAATTTGTAATAGATTTTGTGCATTTAACAAGAAAATTGGTTCTAAATTATAAATTTTAATTTTAATTAAGTGCCAAAACTGCTAAAAAAAGCTTATTTTGAACCTAATTGACTATGTTAGGTGCATTGTACCAGTGCTGGTCGTACATTAGGTTGTCATTTTATAGTTTAAATATTAAAATACGCTTTTGTAATTAAGTTTTGCGCATAAATTCATCAGCAAAATTAACAAAACTTTACATTAATCATGATTTTAATTCAATTTAAGAATTTAAATTCAAATTTAAATTTTGAATTTTTTAAAAATTTTAAAATTTGTTATAGTTTTCTTACATTAGATGAGGAAATTGGTTCTAATTTATCAATTTTAATTTTAATTAAGTGCCAAAACTGCTAAAAAAAGCTTATTTTGAACCTAATTGACTATGTTACGTGCATTGTACCAGTGCTGGTCCTATATTGTGTTGTCATTTTATAGTTTAAATATTAAAATACGCTTTTGTAATTAAGTTTTGCGCATAAATTCATCAGCAAAATTAATAAAACTTTCAATTAATCATGATTTTAATTCAATTTAAGAATTTAAATTAAATTTAAATTCAAATTTAAATCTTGAATTTTTTAAAAATTTTAAAATTTGTTATAGTTTTCTTACATTAGACAAGGAAATTGGTTCTAATTTATCAATTTTAATTTTAATTAAGTGCCAAAACTGCTAAAAAAAGCCTATTTTGAACCTAGTTGACTATGTTACGTGCATTGTACCAGTGCTGGTTGTACATTACGTTGTCATTTTATAGTTTAAATATTAAAATACGCTTTTGTAATTATGTTTTGCGCATAAATTCATCAGCAAAATTAATAAAACCTTCAATTAATCATGATTTTAATTCAATTTAAGAATTTAAATTAAATTTAAATTCAAATTTAAATTTTGAATTTTTTAAAAATTTTTAAATTTGTTATAGTTTTCTTACATTAGACAAGGAAATTGGTTCTAAATCAATTTTAATTTTAATTAAGTGCCAAAACTGCTAAAAAAAGCTCATTTTGAAGCTAATTGACTATATTACGTGCATTGTACCAGTTCTGGTCCTATATTATGTTTTCATTTTATAGTTTAAATATTAAAATACGCTTTTGTAATTATGTTTTGCGCATAAATTCATCAGCAAAATTAATAAAACTTTCAATTAATCATGATTTTAATTCAATTTAAGAATTTAAATTCAAATTTAAATTTTGAATTTTTTAAAAATTTTAAAATTTGTTATAGTTTTCTTACATTAGACAAGGAAATTGGTTCTAATTTATCAATTTTAATTTTAATTAAGTGCCAAAACTGCTGAAAAAAGCTCATTTTGAACCTCATTGACTATATTACGTGCATTGTACCAGTTCTGGTCCTATATTGTGTTTTCATTTTATAGTTTAAATATTAAAATACGCTTTTGTAATTAAGTTTTGCGCATGAATTCATCAGCAAAATTAATAAAACTTTCAATTAATCACGATTTTAATTCAATTTAAGAATTTAAATTAAATTTAAATTCAAATTTAAATTTTGAATTTTTTAAAAATTTTAAAATTTGTTATAGTTTTCTTACATTAGACAAGGAAATTGGTTCTAATTTATCAATTTTAATTTTAATTAAGTGCCAAAACTGCTAAAAAAAGCCTATTTTGAACCTAGTTGACTATGTTACGTGCATTGTACCAGTGCTGGTTGTACATTACGTTGTCATTTTATAGTTTAAATATTAAAATACGCTTTTGTAATTATGTTTTGCGCATAAATTCATCAGCAAAATTAATAAAACTTTCAATTAATCATGATTTTAATTCAATTTAAGAATTTAAATTCAAATTTAAATTTTGAATTTTTTAAAAATTTTAAAATTTGTTATAGTTTTCTTACATTAGACAAGGAAATTGGTTCTAATTTATCAATTTTAATTTTAATTAAGTGCCAAAACTGCTAAAAAAAGCTTATTTTGAACCTAATTGACTATGTTACGTGCATTGTACCAGTGCTGGTTGTACATTACGTTGTCATTTTATAGTTTAAATATTAAAATACGCTTTTGTAATTAAGTTTTGCGCATGAATTCATCAGCAAAATTAATAAAACTTTCAATTAATCATGATTTTAATTCAATTTAAGAATTTAAATTAAATTTAAATTCAAATTTAAATTTTGAATTTTTTAAAAATTTTAAAATTTGTTATAGTTTTCTTACATTAGACAAGGAAATTGGTTCTAATTTATCAATTTTAATTTTAATTAAGTGCCAAAACTGCTAAAAAAAGCTATTTTGAACCTAATTGACTATGTTACGTGCATTGTACCAGTGCTGGTTGTACATTACGTTGTCATTTTATAGTTTAAATATTAAAATACGCTTTTGTAATTAAGTTTTGCGCATAAATTCATCAGCAAAATTAATAAAACTTTCAATTAATCATGATTTTAATTCAATTTAAGAATTTAAATTAAATTTAAATTCAAATTTAAATTTTGAATTTTTTAAAAATTTTAAAATTTGTTATAGTTTTCTTACATTAGACAAGGAAATTGGTTCTAATTTATCAATTTTAATTTTAATTAAGTGCCAAAACTGCTAAAAAAAGCTTATTTTGAACCTAATTGACTATGTTACGTGCATTGTACCAGTGCTGGTTGTACATTACGTTGTCATTTTATAGTTTAAATATTAAAATACGCTTTTGTAATTAAGTTTTGCGCATGAATTCATCAGCAAAATTAATAAAACTTTCAATTAATCACGATTTTAATTCAATTTAAGAATTTAAAT